TTTATAAATGATTAGATCAATAAAACAATATTTGTCACTATTATTATTATCACCATTATAATTAGTTATTATTATTGCATTATTATTATAAATATTATTATTATTAATTATACATATGTCTATATCGATGTAAAATGATAACCATTTGCATTTCCACTTCATTCATGCAATTCATAAAGTATTAATGAAATTCTGTCCATGAATCTCGTTAATAAATTATAATATTTGAAGGCAAGAGAACTTTAAGAATATTCAATAAATTATTTATATATTAAAAAAGAAAAAAAGTTGAAAAAATTAAATAAAAGAAATATTAGAAATTCTGAAAAAAGTATATCTTTTTCCAATGTTCAAATATATTAAAAAAATTGCATATAAAAATAGAAAAACATTAATAAAAATTAATAAATATCAATATTAATTTATGAAATTGAATAGATTTCTTAAAAAATTGCAGAGAAAAAGCCAACTTAAGCATGCTTTATCACATCGGACCTTATTTTTTTCTTCATCAACTATCCTATTCCTTATCACATTCGTCTATTTGATCACTTCTTATTTTCATTTTTTTTAAATTTATCATTTATTATTTACTTTACCATTTACCATTTATTTATCACGTTACGTCTTAAATTGGCGATATGTACCGCGCAGACTTCTGATAATTCCGAAGCGAAATCCAGCATAAACCAGTCCAGTCTGCACTTCTATTTGCAACTAACTCTCGGGCGAAATTGCCTAACATCCAAAGAGGCTAACCTTATTACAAATTATAAATTGCTATAAAAAAATTTGAGTAGTGTAGCGTATAGGATTTTTTCAGATGCAACCTGTTTTAAGATGGAAACAGTTAGAAATTAGTTGACGTCTTTCATAGTATTTAAATTATCTATATAATTTACCATAACAAAATATATCCTTTAAAAAACCCATTCCTTCCCAAAACAATCAAAATAGCTTTAAAGGACATAAATTTGATTTAAAAAATATTGTACTTTAATTGTGATTTACGAACTATTAGTGAAAATTATATTTCGAACGACCGATTTGACTTAAATATTAAACGAAACCTCTCCGATATTTCCTCAAAATCGTCATACTCCTCTGGAACTCTGATGCCTGTTTTATAGCCGCAAAATCGAAAACTTTTCCACTCCAATTTCCATTTGTACACATGCCATACCTTTACTAGTTTTTGTAATTATAACTGCTGCACAGCAAAATTGTATAACTCAGAATGCATAATGATAATGTATGAAACCAGAATACATTTGGTCGCCATGAAGGAACTTAAAACAATGGAATAATAAATAACGGCAAAAGCGCAAAGAAATATTCAATTACATTTACAAGTCATCATAAAATTCAAATATTTAGTGGGTTTCAATAAAATATTTCTTTTTCTTCTAATAGCCCGCATCATTCTTGGATTGACTCAATCGTTAATGAGGATGAGATGTTTGCAAGCCTGCCGATGGCAATCCTGAAATTAACTGAAACTTTTTTCACTTTCACTAAGTTTTTTTTATTAAGCATTGGGCTGTTATTTGTTTAAATTATCATCTGACCATATTTATCCAAATCTCGATTGACCCTCTACGCTTTGGACTTAATCTGCATTGCACAGATGTATGTACATAATCCAATTTACAATATAGCTAAAAATCGTAAAAGATAACAAGAATGTAACCTTGATGCATTCCAAAAGGCTACGTTAATTCCATATATACACATATTCCGATGAAATATGTGACAAAATATGATTAATTTTGATAAATCTGGTGACCCTTTCCGGAAGACCACCGTGTTGCATCATCTTTTTGATCGAATTGAAAACAAAGGCAAAGTTGATGGAGAACGGAACGGTAATTTATCAACACCTGAAATGATCTAATATCGTCATTGCGAAAATTTAACCAACATAACCACATCTAAATACGGCTTAGTTAGGGCGCGTCCTGCTGTTAAGCACTGCTGTAAGCTTCCTCAGTAAAAGAGGCAAAAACATTCCCAGAAACATCTAATAAACTGAATAATTGTCGTACTCAATCCTATCACCATTCTTGCTTACTGACAGCACGTTGCCTTGCTCCAGTCACATGGCATTTTTTTTATATCAATGAATATTATAGATTTCTAGTGAATTTAAAGAGATTTTAGAGAAATTCAATATGACTGGGCAGAATTTGAAGGATTTAACTCGCAGATCATCTGACAACAACGTAAAGAATGTGAGAAATGGTGAATGTTTTGGGATTTAATGCGAGTGCTAGTGAATTGTAGTGGAGATTGAGGGAATTTTAAAGCAATTTAACGGGTTTTTAGAAAATAAGAACTTATAACTCCCAATATTCACCATCTCATTGTCGATCATAACTATAATATTGCAAAAGTGTTGCAAAGTTTAAGGAAAAAACAAAGCAATTGGTTCTATGTGACTCAAAAAGGAAATATTAATAATATTACAAATGTTTAAGTTAATAAGTATATATGATTTAAGTTAATAAGTATATTTTTTAAAAAAATGTGACATACTATTTACTGGAATTTGACAATTAACTTAATGATAGATTCTGGGTAGTACCGAAATTTTCCGACACGGTCGATAGAATTTTCGCAATGGGCAAAGTGGATTTTTAAAGTGTTCAGTGGTCTGCAAAAAAGTACCAGATTATGTTACCATAGTGAAGTTACCACAATACAACAGAGGTATTAGCATTTTTTTTGAAAAAAAGATCAATATCGAAGCTTAGAGGAGATTTTGGAGGCTTTTGGAGATTTTAGAGATTTCTCATAACAGATTGTGAGGAACTTCTGGAAAACAAGCTTCTTAATTGTTTGTCCATTGATGAGGAATGAGAAAAGAAGCAAGGTATTTCGTCAATAATATGCTAAAATATGGAATTAGAAATGTTATTCACAAGTTTTAGAATATTGTCATCAATAAATCGGAGAAATCATAAGTTTTTGAAAACATATAAAATATAAAATGTTTTAAATTTTTAATTGATTTATTTTTTCCTATCATTAACATTAATATTTTAAAATTATAATTATGATTTGGAAAATTCGAGAAAGTTTAGAAAAATTGGTTTAAGAAAAATGCGAAAAATTCCGATTTTTTCTGCAAACAATAATCACCATCTCCGGTTTGCCTACCTTCATATGAGAGAGAGTATATTTGGGCAAAAAATACGGTCCCTAGCATGCGGATAAACTTTTACGCTAATTTAAATTTAAATAATATCAATAAAAAAGTGCGAAGATTTTGCGAGAAAAATCAAATAACTTAAAAAATGGACCATTCATCTTCAAAGAATAGAAAAAATAACGATTTTATTCAAATGAGAAAAAAAACTAAGTAAAAATTTATAAAAAATGCTAAATATATTTATGGAGTTAATTAAAATTAAAATGAATTAAAATGACTAATTTGGTTAATTAAGATGCAAAATATAAGTGATCAATATCTATTATTTTTGCCTTAATGAAGGTTGGAAATTTTTTCTAGCAACTAAAGTAGGTTAGAAGTACAGGTGGACGCTAATACCACACGGATTTCAATAATAGACTTACTCATGTCGGGATTGGAGATGTCGTAACCAGCTACACCATCTCGCTGCTAAGATTTATGTAGAATTCAGTTTATATTAAAAGAAAATAATATAAATCTGAAAAATAAATGTAACAAAGGAGACATTTCTTCGAGCAGTATGCACCATTCCTGTTTTGGTTGCGACTCCTCATCCATTAGGATGGGAAAATATAATTCTGAAGCAGAAGCAAGTGGACTTCCAGCAACCATTTCATCTTTCTTGACATAGTAAAGCGCAAACCGTTTATAGGCTGGAATTGTTGCAGCTTCGAAGGATGGTGGTTGAGATTGTCGTTAATATAGAAAGGGCATACGTGCTCCATAGCCGATGATCTAAATAAATTAGCATTAGCATTAAGGAAAGAACTGTCACTACTCGGCTCATTTGCAATTAAAGAAGCCGAGAATCAAAGGACTAAAAGGTACCACAACGTTTAAACTGCTTTTTTGCTATCAGTTACTTCGCCCTCTCTTTGACATAATATCGACTGTGGAGCTATTTATTCGCCATTTAAATAAGTCTCTCATTGAATAACGATTAGGAGACTGGAACAGCCAGTGCTTACACCCTTAACCTCTTTCCAAGGGACTATAATTCAATAACAGATCGTGTTGTGCCCAAAAGTACCGAACGATTCCCCCCTAACGATTCCCGTAATCTCCAACCCGACCCAATAAAAAAATTAATAATATTAATAACAATAATATAATAAAAAGCCTCCCCTCCCAACGCTCCCAGAACCGGCGATCTGCTAATATCGCACAAACCCTGGTTCCCGCCACGAAAACCCCGATAACCTGCTTATTTTCTGTTGTTTATACGTACAAACCAGGCGTCTGGGAAAGAGGGTGGATAATAGGTGTGAATTAAATTAATAAAATTAATAATAAATAAATTAATGATTTTAATTAAGTTTTAATAATTATTAATAATTATTTAATAATAACAAAATAAAAAACAACGATAAAATAAAAAATAAAAAAATTATTTAATAGAAATAAAAGCATTAATATTATTAATAATAATTATAATAATAATTGATAAATAGTAACAATGAAAATAAATTATAATAAATATATTAATAAATAAATAGAAATAGAAATAATTATTTAATAAGCAGTTATTTTTTATTTATTCAATGAAATATACTATTTATGTGAAAAAAATAAATAAATGGTAATCATGTTGATAAAAATTATTTGTACTTTTATTTATTTATTTAATTTATTAAAATAATATTTTTATTTTATTTAATTTTTATTGTTATTATTTATTAAATAAATAGATTTTCGACGTGAAAAAAATAAATTAGTAAGTTATTACAAGTTATAAGTTAGTAACAATTGTAAGTTAAATTAATAAAATAATAAATTAATAATTCAATAAATAATTTAATATTTTAAGAATTAAATAATATTAATTATTATGGTTAATTAAATTAATATTTAAATGATTAAATCAAGTAAATTTAAATAAATTTCAAGCAATTAAATTAAGTGATTCGTACATCGACTTTAATAAAGATTTAATTAGTAGATTTATGATAAGATAAGCTGATTATGATTAGTTAAATTAGTTTTTTATAAATAATCGTATTGAGACATGAATTTAAGATGTAGAAGAAAATTTTGGGTCGTGAATGGCTCCTTCGGTATTTTTGGGCAATACGACCTGTTATTGAATTATTGTTCATTGGTGTGTAAGCACCAGCTGTTCCAGTTCGCTAACCATTATTCAATGAAAAGTTCATTCCTGATTGCTAATTTATTTAGATCATCACATATGGAACGTATATGCCCTCTTTCTGTTAATAATAATCACGCTGTTGAATCTCAAAGACGTTATAATCTTCGAAGCTCGAATAGTTCAAGCCAACAAACGGTTTGTTTTTTATTGTGTCAATATCCATGAAGTCCAGGTGATTGCTGGATGCCCATCTGTTTTTACATCATAATTAAATTTTAACATCCCACTTTCCTAATGAATGAGGTCGGCCAAAGCAGAGATGGTGTTAGGAAAAGAGCGAGTATCAAGCCGCTTTTAACCATAATCATATCATTTTCTTCTTTTAATCGTGAATTAAATTAGATCTTAGATCTTCCATAAATCCTAAGCGCAGGATGGCGTACTTGAATAGTCAGAATAGTCTTGAAAGACAAGAATTCTTCTATCTTCAATGAAGTATCATTAAAAAATGTCCATTGTATTAGCGACCACTTATAAAAACCAAGTATCCCTCGAGCTAAAATTTTTAGTATTTTTAAAGCAAGAAGTAGCGGGCAGGTACTATTTCTATTATGTATGTATTTGGTACCAAAATTAGCCATTTTTCTCTTCTCTTCTTCACATTAGTCTTTATTTGTATTTATTTCCTCATAATTAATCCTTACTATATTTATTTTCTGGTTATATTGCCTTAATATAAATCTCTTTTGGTTTTGCTTAATTTTTGGTTACTGTGGTGCAATGTTTTGTTAAAAATTAAAGTTTATGCAGCACTTCGAAGAAATAATTAGACTTAATTTAATTTAGTACAGCAGTCTGTAGGATTTCTCATGATTAAAACCATTGTCAATAAAATCATTAATATAGATACAACCAAAAAATTCGAGTCGAATATTGGATTATTTTGTACTTCGAAAAAGATCGATTAGCTCGATGGATAAGCATAAAAACATCCAATCACTGAGAAAAAAGTTTAAACACGATTTAAATTTTAATCTATCAGAATCTCTTCAAGTGGTACCATCGCTTTCTCATACGACAAGTAGTTCTGGTGTGATTCAATTATTTTTAATCGTTTATTCATTTTTTTGTTGTTTTAACTTATTATTACTTATTTATTTATTTATTCTGTTTAATTTATTCATTTATTATTATTATTATTAATTATTATAACATTTATTATTATAACATTTATTTTCAAGTATTTTTAGATTATTCGGAGAGCCAAATTGTGCCGTCAAATCCAGTTAACCCTCTTGGCATTTTCGCTGTTCTTCCATATGAATTACTGCCAACATTTTTCGATCTTATTCCGAGTATATATTTGGAATTTTTGTTACTAAAATTTTATTTATAAAAATTTTTCAATTTTTGATTTATTAAGGTTAAGCTGGTAGAAAGTAAAAGCAGTTTTCATATATTTAGTTAATTTCTGATGCAATGGACATTCACCTGCATATCAAAGCTGAGATGAAAAATTCTTATCGTATTCATTATTTAATTTGGATCTAAATAATTCATCAGTGATGATGATTTATTGCTCATTAATTATTATGATAGTTAATTCGCTCCATTCTCTTAATGGGCAATTTTATCTTTTTACAACGAGATTTTCCTAAAATGCAATTTAAGCAATTTCCATAAAATGACAAGGTAAAATATTAGTATTAAAGTATTAAAGGTAAAGTATTAAAATCTTTTTCTTCTAGTATTTTTAAAAATTATAGGTTTTTTATTTATTTATTTTCTAATGGTTTTCAGTTTTTTGTGTGGTGAATTTGAGTTTACTATCCAAGGAATTAAATAAATTAGTTTGTTCTTATGTTTTTTCCAAAAATGCAAAGGGCAGATTTGCTAATGAATCAAGAAAACAGGTAACACATGAAGATGAAAGAACTAATGAAGATCCTTTTCACACTTGGGGTAAATTTTTATTTATTATAATAGCCAATTTTCACCATTTTAATTGATAACTGTTTGATTATTTCTTATTTTTATATTCCATATTTTCATATTTTTATCGCAGGTTTGCTTCTAAAGGCAGTCACATCAATTTTTCAGTTGTCAGCACGAAAAATATTTCTCGGCCAATTTTTTGATGAGGTTAGTAACAGAAACTGGAATGGTGAATTTTAATTTAAAATTTTTCGGCCCAAATTTTTTATAAGTCTAATTTGCATACTTTCTGTAAAATTTAATAAAAAAATAATAAAAAAAAATAATAATTAATAAATAAATTAATAAAAAAATTTTTTAGCACATCAAATCTCACAAATTATGTCAAATTATCTTTTTTTCAGAATAAAACTGTGAATGACTGTAATGGTTGGGGGCGTCTTTTCACCACTGTAAGTAATTTATAGTTGGTTAATTTTTCTCATATTTTTCTCTTCTCCTAGTAGCCCGCAGCGTTGTTGATTTAGCTTGCTTTAATAATGATATAATATTTCTAAATCTCTCGACTCGATAATTCTGAAAGTAATTAAAGCTGTTCCTTTTTCCATTGTTTAAATACATATATGGCTAGGCCGCTTATGCATTCAAAATCTTCCTTGACCGTATTATTCAAGGCCTTAATTGGTTTCCCTGACCGTTTTTAATATTTTAATGTTCAAGTCCCTTCTGTACATATATTGCATCTAGTACCTGGTTAAGAATACCATGTATTCCTATGTAAGAATACCATGAGGCGTTTTCGATTTAATTGACTAATTCATCCTGGAGTCGCTTGAAGGTGGGCGCTTACCACCCACTCCGATTTTTAATTGCAGATTTATTTCTGTCGAAATATATAAATTGAAAATTTCCACGAAAAAAAATGAAAAAAACTTCTTTAGGAGAGAAATTTTTTTATTTTTTATTTTTTTATTTTTTTTAAATCTACTATAATATTTAGCTTATCAAAGAAGAATCTGACGATTTTTCCGGAAAATTCTAGAATAATTTAGTCAATAATCTATAACCTAATATTGCTACAATATGGATGGTATTTAGGAATCCAACTCCATAGCCTTACAACTCTAAAGTATTCCATTTTAAATTGACTACAGTTGATTGATTGTTTTTGTAATTATCAAAAAATTTAATTTTATAAAAAACTAATTTTATAGAATATTGTTTATCTGGTTAGTGTGGTAATTAAAAATTAATTTATGATATGACAATTTAATATAGTGTCTTAATTAAAGTTTTGTTCGCAATGGAGCTATTTCGAGTGTAATGAATTGTTGCGATGTATCCTGAAATTTAATGGCAATTTTTTGGCTAAATCGATGGGTCGTGTTCTCAATAGTAAATTTGGGGAATTTTCTGATCTCGAACTATTGGTTGCTCATTTTTTTGGACCAATTTGAATCTTTTTTTGTTTCTACCAAAAATTTTAACAATTTCTTTTGAATTTCCTTTTTTAACTTCAAATTTGCTTTTTAAAAAATGTATTTCTATTCTCAACCTTTTTGTTTTCTCTATTCTAGCGAATGTTTGTCAGATTTTAACTAGTATACATATATAATATAATTATAATTATATAACTATATAATTATAATTATATAATTATATGTACAATTTTAATTTCAGTAGCATTCAAAGACAAATCTTTTTTATAGGTTCGTCGTTATCTTCGTGGTTATTTCCTTGATCATGACCATGATGATTTTAGTTTCTGGCTTTCAGCCATACTTCGTACTCAACAATCTGTTGCTAAGCAAGGCAGATTGTTTATGATTCTATACTGCCCAACAATACATCAGAATGGAAAAGGTATTCTTGATGCAGAATTTGTTATGCATTTGTAAATTTTCAAACGTTGGTTTTATATTCAATTTGTTTATTCAAAATATTCAAAAAATATCCAGAAAAATCTGCAATGAATTAAAAATTATTTTTTTAAGAAAAAATTGACTGGTTCCTCTTTGCAAATACAACATTTCGAACTTTTTCTGAGAGTTTACTGAAAATTGGCTCACTTTCATTTTGCTTATCTCGCCTGCAGCTGACAAGATTCATTGGATTTGATCAGTTTGTTTGGTCACACTATGATCTATTCAATCTGATAGAGGAAATAACGAGTAGACATTTTTACAACACTTTTATATTGTATATTGTATATTTTTATATTGTATATCTTTCTTTTCTTTTTTATTTTTCTTTTTTTATTTTTTTAGCCATAGCTGAATTATGGTCGCTAGATAATTTTGCTTCTTTACTCGTTCATCGACCTGGTTTGATTCCGATAGCGTTCACTATTCGAATAATCTATGGTCGTGTGCAAGAAGTTGGCGAATTATTTGCTACGATGAAAACAGTGGGTATATTATGCAATGTCAGAATTTTTTTTGAAAATGAATGCATGGCTCTTGAATTGAATGATAATTTGCAGTTACTTTATCGATGGGATATTGATGCAGCCAATTTGCTGTTGAGCCCACTATTACTTACTATTCGACCATTATCAGCGGAGCATAAACGATCTTTTCTTTCATCTTTTTATTTGTCGGAAGCTGAACAATTAAAAAGTCATCTTACGAGCATTCCGTGTAAATTTTTATTATTTTTTTGCGAACAAAAATATTAATATTTAAATTAAGAAATTAACCGATTGAGAATATCAAATAATATTTTTATGTGCGTTGCTTCGATGTCATTTATCAAATTTCAGTTAGACGCTTTGATTTCGTCGATGAGTTGGCATCGTCACGCGCTATTTCAAAACTTATGGATATTTTGATCGCCAATATTTAATGTTGGTTTTTTTTTGTAGAATAGATTGATTTAATACTTTTATTTTGTTCCCTATATTCTTTATATATATATTCATGAATTTTAATTGTTTAATTCATTTTATGATTCATTTTAAGTGAATCTTTTTTAGAATTTATTGGTTTAATTTAAAAATAATAAATTTGTCTTTTTTTTCTTTACTTACTTGATAAATTCAAAATTCATTATAATACTGGTAAATTCTAAAAATGATATTTCAGTTCAGTTTATTTGTTTTAATTATTTTAAAAAATTTTCTTCTCATAATCTTCTTCTAATAATTCTTCATTTCTTTAGTTTTCTTTAGTTTTCTTAAAAATCCATATTTGGCTGAAAATCCGTATTTTGTGGGCTTGAATTTTTTCTCATAATGTAAAATGGTCATAGATTTAATTTTTTTTTTAGGCGCATAAATTAATCAATTAATTGTTTAAAATTATTTGCTGTTTGCATATATAGATTGATATTTATATTGTTTGTTGTTTTTCCAATTTAAAAATTTGTATTGTAAATGCTTGATATAATTATAATTTTTCAATTATAATTTTTTTTGTTGCTTATTGCTTAAACATTTTTAGGTAAAACGATTCATAAAATTATTTGGTTTCTATTTCAGCCCAAAAGGATTTTTTACTAATATCATTTTGTTTTCGAAAACCATATTTCGTTTGTAATTTTTTGTTAATTTTGTTCTGTTTTTAATTATTTTTTTTTATTATTTCATTGAGTTTTTTGTTGCTTTTTGTTTATATTAATTTAGGATTGTGTTAGAATTTTTTCACTAACTAGGCGTTTTAACTAAATTATATATAACTATAATTATAATTATAATTATATATAACTAAATTAAATTATAATTGGACTAAACTATAATAAATGCTTGGTTTTTTATCGGAAAATATCCAAAAGAAGATAGCAGAAGAATAATGGTTCATTCTTACATCTAAGTGAAGATTGGAAAAATGATTTCAATGAAATCGCGCGAGCTTCAAAGAAGACGAAACAATTCTTTATGTTAGTTAAATGAGCCATTCATAAAAATAACTGAATAAATTTAATTAAGCCAAATAGAAACCATAAAGATAAAGATAAAGACAATAGAAAAGATATTTTATTGAAAAATTAAAAAATAAATAAGATATAAAAAAAATAAAAATAAGTTTCAATTATTTGCTATCAGCCGGTGCATTTATTTTCATTTTGTAAAATTTCAAAAAATTTTTCTGAATTATTCTGTTTCTTTAGTTTCCACTTCCTCTATATTAGCGCTAAATTACTCGTTTAACATAATTTATGAGAAAATTTGCCATAGCATTGGTTATTTTGCAATGAAATATACTTTCAATGCTTTTTCCTCATTATCGCCGATAGATTTTTATATGAGGAATTAGAAAGATAGGAACGATCCGACAGTGTAAACCACATCCCATTTATCTTCAAGCGATTCGCTGACAATAAATTTAACAGTCGTTTTCACAACTATTTTATCAGAATTTTCTTCACGCATGAATATATTTGCTTGGCAAGTATGTTATTGCAGGATTTTACGAGATTTCATGGATCTCTTCAGTTGCTCCTTTCACAAGCATTTGAGAAATCTCTGATAGTACCACAAATTATCTAGGCCAAGTTGGTCACATAACCCGCAACGATTCGAACAGTTGAATTTTCTAGTGAATAGCAATATGTAATTGTTGATAAATTTTAGCAGCTGCGAGGTCTATTAACATACCAATTCTCATATAAAAAAAGTTTCTGGCTTTGAATATCGTAGATGAAATTTCAAATTATCATAAATCGTTTGTTCACTACTGAAATTTTTTTTAAAAGTTACCATTACTGGTTAGATTCCTCTGCTGGTTTCTGTCAAATATGTCAAAGAGTCCGTCGGTGATAGAAATATAGGTGAGTTGCCGGCGTCACCCGAAATAAAACTTATTTCTTCCTATACAATGATTTTAAAAATTAAGCAAAAGTAAAGCACGCAAGGATAATTTCATAAATTATTTTTCAACAAAAAATTTAAATTAATACTTCGAAAAAATTTTTTAAAAATATTAAAAATATTAAAATATACGTATGCAAAATAATTCAGTGCGAAAATTTTTCTCAATCTATAATAAAATTCCCTTCGATTATTTGCAGTTTATTCATTTCCAAGTTTCTTTTTTTCCTTTTTTTTTCGAAATTTTCATTAAAAAATAACCTTTATCGCAGTTGAACTGCTGTTTTCTGCAACATTTGGCACGAATACTTGGGCGATGCGACACAGTTGTCGCAGCAAGTGAAGCAGTATGTTCGCTGATTCTTTCGTGTTAAAATGGTTATTAAAAAATTTATTAGAAGCGAAATTGTTAAAAAAGAATGATTTTCGTACTAAATGCCGTTAACCACCGTCGAACATTCCGTTATTGCCTCGCCATCGGCATATTTGCCCTCGTTCTTCAAAAAAAAAGCAGCCTAAAAAGCTGATTAGATTAAATCATCATTTTGCTCTACTGGTTTTTGTTCATTGCCAGTTTTTCCAAAATAAATTAAATTAAAATTAAAATAATTGATAAAATAGTTTATTAAAATATACCAGTGAATTAAAAATTTAGAAATATTTACCAAATTTAAGTTTAAATTTTCCAAAAATATGAAAAGAAAAATTTTGTAGACGAGCGATTTGTACAATTTAGCAACTAAAAGAAGTCACCACAGCTCACAGGGAGATATTTATTTTTTTCAGAATAATTCATTTAAAAAAAAACAATCTGAACAAATTATATCGAAATTTTTTCCAGCAAAATATTGCATTGAAACTCTAAGGTGGAATACTTTAATGGTCGATCTGAAATTTGTTATGAAAAAAGCTTTTCAACTTTTCAACTATTTCATGGATTTCCTACTTTTCGTATTGAACAAAATTTTTATCTTTAGAAAAGGAAGGCGTTGAAGAAAGACATTTTCATATTCAATTCATTCACAAAAATCTCATCCATACTTATTTATGATGAAATCTGATTATCATTTATCTGATTATCATTCTAACCAAAACTTTCAGATATTCGAAAATGGCGATTCTCCTATGGCTTTTCCTCGTTCCATCTTTATGGACAAAATCCTACCAGTCTTCTCACATAAATGCTTTTTGATGATAAAATATGCTTACGTAAGGCACGAAACAATTAAGCTAATTTCAACCAGCGTAGAAAGAACTTAGAAGGTGGAAAGAAGAACGCATTACGTAGCGCATGGAAAGGCTTCGAAAAGTCAGCGTAGAAGGGAATAAAACGTGAAAATCACGTTGAATGTGTAGGGTTTACAATTTTATCCTTTTTTCTGAGTCACATTGTCAACGGTTTCCATAATATTCTGTTTACTTAACTCATCTTTCCAATGCCACTGTGCAAATAATTTACCATAACCAATGTTAAAATTCTTTCGTGTGGAGAAAATTTTACTTTTATTTTACTTTTTTATTTTTTTGTGGTTTTTCTACTTTCGCGATAAAACATATTTTCGATGCATTTATTTCATCCAATAACGTTAGAAAAATCCAACCGCTTTCATGAAATATTAAAAATTCACCAAAATTGAAATAATAGTGAAGCATTCGAATATACAAAGTTATAAGCAAATTATGCATTATACAAAATTGCTAAAGAAAAAATACCGAAATACCCAGAATATCTAAATGATTTAAAAATGATTCATTTCATACTCCATTTTTAACAAGCATTGCAAGTACCGGGACAATATCTGCTGAGAACTTCCCTATATCGTTCATTGTAGCAGAATGGTGCATAACTCAAACAATTCGTTCTTCGGTCCACGCATGAAGAGGGAGTTGTAGTTGAATCTATAACTATTGCTTTACTAATGTCATTGGATGATATAAGTAAAAACATTTCTTTTATCCACTAGTTATTCGATAATAAAAATTCAATTTTATTTAAAAAAGTCTATTAGAATTTACCTGGCAAGCACGTTGTTATATTGCACGATTTCATGCATACTTGAGCAATTGCCGGATTTTGACAAGCATTCGGCAAACCTCTCACAGTGCCACAAATTTCGCTAGTGTCTGGGCATTGTCCAAGAGCTCCAGGTTGATCGCACAGACCGCAAGTTTTCGGGCATTTTGCAAGAACAATTGGGTATAAAGTTGGATTTCTGCAATGAGTTGGAAAAGCCAGTTGTGCACAAATCGCATTAGCTGCAACATCTGAAATGCAAATTTTCAAATTTAATACTCTTTTTTTCGCTATTCAATACTGCGGGCTCATTTATAAATTTGTAAATTTTCTTCAGTTTAAAAAATCTGACAAATAAAATAAAAATTTCTGAAATTATTTCAATAAACTGAAATTTTACCGAATTCACTGAAGTATTTCAAATCGTTTTGCACCATCAAAAAATTTGCCATATTTTCAAAATAATTATTTCCAAACTTTTTAATCAAAAAAATAGTTATTTTATTTTTAAAGGTAATTAATTTTCGCATGGAAAATTTCTGCTTCAAAAAAATTTTAGAAAATCTACAGAAAAATTAAAATTAAATTGAAATTTAAATTTAAAAATTTAAATTTCAAAAATTTTTAAAAAATTTTTCATTTAGCACTAATCTTCCCGAATATTTAGCATTTATTCGTTTCTACTCATTTTTTAGTTTGTAATTATCTTATATTTCACTAAAAAATAACCGTTCTCGCAGTTGAACTGTCGCGTTTTGCAACATTTTGCACACGAACTTGGACAATGCGACACAGTAATCGCAGCGAGTGAAGCGTTCAAGCAATGTTGGCTGACTTTGTAATCGTTCGCACTAAA